AACACTTGGCAACTAATAATGTAAAGTAAATCAGTGATTACTCGACAGATGACAGAAAAGAGAAAGAGTAGAGAGGACAGTGGAGGAGAACAGGTGAATGACAACAACATGTATCCAAATAGTAAAATCTCCAAACGGCAGCAAGAAAACTGCTAGAACTTGGACACCCTGAAATCCTGCGAGGTGGCGACCTGGTCAATCATCTGACGAGAGAAGAAAAATCTACCTTGGCCTGTAAGCCTGTAGGCTCCAGCAGCCCTCGCTGGCTTCCTGAGTGTGACTGGATTGGTTTTTACATCTTCAGCTGAGAGCAGCCTCCTCTCTTCTTCAGACGCTAAACTACCTCAGTCATTCATTTCTTTTTTATTTCAGGGGCTGATCTGTTCTCCAGCGCAGCTCAGACTGACTTCAACATGGAAAAAATACACTTCAAATCCCCAGTTGCAACCAAACCTCAGACCTATTTTCATTCACTGGCCTCCGACGTGTTGTCATGCTCTATCACTCTTATTTTGTGCATTAAAGCGTGATCTCTTTTCCCTTACGTCTTCATTTTGCTGCTGATGTTCCATGCTCTGCCTCCCTTTTTTCCATATTGTAACCCTCCTGCTTCTTAAAGCTCATTTACGTGCTGGTTTTGTATTTTTAAAGCTGCGTATAAATAAAGTTGACTTGACAACCGAAAGCCACTGCGCCTGTACCTCATACAGTAGATGACAAATTAGCTTCTTCTTTTTTTTTTTTTTTGTCTCCAGGAGGATGAGAAATGCAGGTAGAGGAGCAGGACTGAAAAAGAAGATGAATAAAACAAGACAAGAGGAGTGTTTTCAATGCAAACAAGTCGATTTTACTACTAAGTGTATCTGTGGAAGCAGTAGAGTAGCCCGAGGCAAAATGTACACTTAGCTTTGGTCTATACGAGGCCCAGCAGTGAATCATCAGAGCTCAGCTGTCCAAAATACACCACCAATCTGGCCCAGGCATATGGCTGCATGACACTCGGATGAATTACTACTACACGCTCGTGTTGTTGTTTTTCCTCCCGTTTAAATGTTCTATATGCCGGCCAACACTCCCAACACCGTTTTACATCAGAGCAGATCCGAATCGCTGCACTGACGCCTGAGAACAGAGCCGACAGGTCTGAGGATTTTAACGTAGGAGCGAAATCATACGCATCTTTCAAAGAATGTCATTATTATTATTATTATTATTATTATAGATAATGTTTGCTTGCCTTGACAATGACTGAACCTGGACTTACATGTTCAGCACAGTACTCAGAGTGTTTGGTTTAAACTGCTGGGACTACCAAGTGGGTGGAGTTTGGTTCAAAGGACAATAAAAGAGTAGAAAATTGAAAACTGAGCATGTGATAGACAGTTTTTGATATTAAGTTCACAAAAAAATCAATCGAGGGGCCCCATCATGAGGCTTGATTGCAATTAAAAGCCGTCTTCCACGGAGCCCGGGCTAATGCTCTGAGACAGTATTGATCAGTAAATGTAAGACTAGATTGGATCAGCATCAGCATCAGCCACTATTCAAACAGTGACAACTGGAATTCATACAGACAAGAGAAAAATAAACTCTTTGTCAATGGAGTTGTTATCTGCCTCATCCAAAGCTGAAACGCTTCAAACATCAGGGTATGATGAGTCCTGGGAAATAAATAACATTTCAGCTGAGATAGTTTTCATCAGGTTTGCATTAAAAATCTAATATTTCTTTCTTTTTTTTTCTCACCTTTTATCTGGTTTTTCCCTCAACATGAACTAATGTAATCTTTTCCTTCTCTTTCTTTGCTGTTTCCTAATTCAGCAATTCCCCGTCTGCATGCGTTGCTCTGAGGTTGCAGGAATATTTCATCACATCCATCTCGAACTTTGACCTTCCCATTAGTTGCTTGTGAAGTCAGAGACCGGCGAAATTCAAGCTAGTATGCAAGTCTAATAGATGTAAAATGTAAAAGTGGAGGAAGGTTGAAATTTCTCTCTTAATGATAGCGATGTACTCCAGAGGATTCCCTCCTTGGCCGCCTTGACACGAGCGCTCATTTTTCGCATGTGTAATTGTCCAGGCGGTTCACAGCACATTATCAGATTCATCAGCTAATCATTTAAGACCCCCTCTTTTATCTACAAGATGGTCTGCGAATGATCCGATGGTGCGCCGATCGATAGGAAAATCGGAATATGCAAAGTGCGTTCTGATGTTTGGCATCGCTCAACCTTTGGCGCTTTCATCTCGGCCTTTTGATGTTGCTTTTAATCTGCATAACGCAGTGTGAGTGGCTAACGGAGTTGAGCGTCTCCTTCAGTGGAGAGGACTCTGCTGCTGGACTCCACCTGTCAGGCCTCAATAAAGTTTCTACATGAGATTTAATGGCTGGAGAGATGAACGGATCCTGTGTCGTTAAGAGAGCAACGGGCAAAAGTTTTGATGCTCTGAGTCCAAGGTGATGCGTTCAAATGTCTTGTTTTGACTGGTTAACAGTCAGGAAGCCAAAGATATTCAGTCTAAAATGACATAAAACAAAGAAAAGCAGCAAATACTCACATTAGAGAAGCTGGATCCGGCTAATATTTGTCGTTTTTACTTTATAAACGACTTCATCGATTATTAAAATTGTTGTTGATTAATTGTTGATCAGTCGTCTAAGGGATTAATTGACTTCTTGCACTAATTCCCACTATGATATAGACATATGAGCTCAAGGTGCTTTAATAAAAGCTTCTACAGAACACCAGATGCTGTCATAATTAAAACAGTCGACAGCTGTTTGTTTAAAAAATAAATAGACATTTCTGAGAGAATGAAAATCGGAAAAACAGTGTTTAAACATCTGTTTTTCTTTTCCATTTAATTGAATATTTTAAGGACGAGGCTGACGTAGTTTTCTGTATCTTTCTTATAATCAACAAACCCCATTAAAATACTCAAACATAAATCTTCAAAAATGGTTCACAAATATATAGTTTCATTTTTTTTTAAAGGCTCAGTGGTTTCCTCAAACAGTCAGGCACTGCAGCTTTTAGTAAAAACAACTAAAACAGGAAGAAATAGTGAATTTCTTGGGGATTATTTTCTGTGGTGGATTAATACACACTTGGGGGACTGGTATTTTCCAGCTGGAGGATGAATCCATTGAGTCCAAATTAATTCCATTGCAAAACTTTTAAGATCAATTTATTGTTGGTGATTTTTTCCTTTAAATACTTGTGTTGTTGTTGTTTATTGTGATGTGACTGGTTTAAAAAGTGGAGAACAAACACAGGTGAAAAGATGCGGAACATGTCGGGTTTGACTTTATCATCTAAATAAGACATAACAAGCAGGGCCGGGGTCAATTCACTTTGATCCATCTGAAAATGTGAATTGAAACTGTATGTAATTAACATAATAATGAAAAGCAGAGCTCCATCCTCAGTGGTTTCTGTATAAACTGGATATGAGAGGAGAAAGATTTTTGGAGAGAATTTAAAGTGACTTGAGCCCGACGTTGCCAAGCAAACCTCACAGTTTGTTCTCTGCGAATAAACATGAAGCGCTGAGGGTTTGGTACTCTGTAATTTGGCTACTTTTATTCGAGCAGGGTCATTTTCAAGAGAAATTACAAATTAAGAATTCAATAATACTTTTACAAAGACATTTCAGGAAAGATTCTTCTTCAGTCATGATATCATACATAGTATTTAACAGTCCCTCTTCATTTTTTTAGCTTAAAAAAAGAAACAAAGATGAAGAAAGTGGAATTTTTCAGTCGAAAATACAGTGTTTTCACAATTGTATAAAAGTTCCCAAATTTGGAATTTTCCAGTAACTGGAAAATAAAGGAAATAAAATAAAATAAGATTAAACTTCGCATTTCACAATGTTTCAAAACACAATAAATGCTCTCTTTACGTAAAATTTGCCCCTATGATCGACACCATGTTCCTTTTTACTAAAATATATCTATATATTGAAGACCTATAGTACTGTACACAACAGTATGAAATAAATAAAATTAGGAAATATAAAATGGGCCACATAAATAATGTCTTTTTTTCAACCTACAAATAAAATGAATGCAATTTGCTGTTTTCAAAAAAAATGGTTTGGTGTAATACTGACAAGTTAAAAGAAAAGAAACTGAGAAAACATTGCACAACATAATGTAAACTAAGGAACTGCTGCCTATAAGTCTTAATACTGACACGGGTGCTTCAAAGAACAACGGTGAACCATTTCATAATACTGAAGCTGGTGAACAAAAGTAACCTTCCTTTTACACAATACGAGGGTGGCACTTGCAGAAAACACACAGGTTAAAAGGTTTGCATATAAGGCTTCTTTTTTCTTATCAAAAACACCTTACAAAGGCTTCGTCCTTCATTTTTTTTCCCCCATACCATCTGTCCATAAACTGTATTTTCCCTTAAAACGAAGGTCTCTTTAAAACTTCATCCTCTTAAAAAAAAAAACCAAAAAAAAAAACCTCTAAGCTCCTTCATACAGTCTTTTGTTTAAATTCCTTCATTTGAAGTTGATTCAAGAGGCCTAAAACAGTGTGGCTGGAGATGTTTGTGGCCGGGCAACAGGGCAAAACTAAAGACGACACCGTAGGTAGGTAGGTGATAACAAAGGTAATATCGAAGGACTGTAGTGCAGACACTACTGCTCTTTTTCCAACACTGTATAAATATATACATAGGCAATACTTTTTATTATTTTTGTTCATGATTATAGAAGCGGAGTGCAATTTGTACAAGTCACTAGTTGTGCTATAAATACTATGGAACACAGGGGGTTTATTTGAGGAGGTTAGCACCACACATATTTTTAGGCCTTAGTACTGTACATTTTTTGAAATGTATTCATTTATTCATTGTTCGGTTTGCATAATGCAGCTTATTTCACAAACCCATGCCTCCCTTCTCTAAACGCCTCCTCCAGATTGATTTTTGAGTCCATGTCTTGTTCGGCAGACATCTCCCCCCCCACCCCACCCCCCGAGGAGTCTGTCAAAGAAAGCTTCCCGGAAGCTTCAGGCACGTGCACGTACAGCTTAAAACACGGTGTTTTAAACCGAGTAGGTAAGAATACTGAACCGAAAGAGAGAAACTTAAAACTTCTAAGATGGGAAGCTTTTGAAACGTCGTCGCCGATTACATGCCATCCTCCATTGTGTCCTCGTGATCCGATTTGGTTTCCGTTTTGCCGTCCAGCGAGCTATCGTCCATTGAGTGCTCTCCGTTCTCCTCCTCGTCCCTCAACGTGTCCGGGTCCGTGTCCATGCTCTTGCTTTCCTCCTCCTCCTCCTCAAACTCGTCATCCCTCCGTCCGATCTTGGCATACGTTCCTTCCACTTCCTTCCGTCCCTCTCTGATCCCTCCGTTCACGGCGTCGTGCCTCAGGATGGCCTCGCGCTCCGCCAGCTCCGGGTAACCCTGAGGTGTCATACCCTGCAAGTACGCCCGGCTCATCAGCAGCTCCGTGGGTTCCAGGTGACCCTTCTCGCGGGCCTCCCTCTCGGCCGCCTCCCGCTCCTCGGCCTCCCGCTTGCAGTAGGAGTAGCGGTGGTTCATGTGCTGCGAGTAGGAGCCCGAGTGGGAGAACCTCTTCCCGCACTTGTCGCACTGGTAAGGCTTCTCCCCCGAGTGCAGTCTGGAGTGCTCGATGAGATGGTGTTTGTGTTTGAAGGCTTTCTTGCAGATCTGGCACTGGTGCGGCCTCTTGCCTGCGGAGACACAAAACACAGAGCGGGGACGTGAGTGGCCTGCTTCGCTCATCCTGCTGCTACAACAAATTACACAAGTCAGAAGAAAGCAAAATGTTGAGGAAAAACTCTGATGAATTGGATGGCATGGAGTAAAATGACATCACGGAGCATTAAATCCAACTCTGACTTACGACTTAGGGCTATTTGTTTATTCAAATTGTGAGCACGATGAGAAAGTGCGCTCGCATTCATGGGCCTACATTATGGAAATTCCCTCCCGTGGTTAAAGCATGGAGAAACTCAACCACAACTACTTATTTTAGGCCTGCGTGCCACACTGATGAATGCAACATAAATAAACTACTGCAAAGCAAACAAACAGAGAAGGCGCGACAAAGGAGTAAACAAATCCGAGATGGGCTGTGGGGGGGGGGAGGGGAGGGGGGGGCTCCAAGGGGTTGCCCTGCTTATCTCCGAATACAATTCAAGTTCATGGTGACGCCCGGCCCTCCATTAGGTTTTGGGCTGGGGCTCCTCCGTCGACCAAATGTGACGGGACGCTTTGGATGCCAAGGCAGAAATGAGAAACCCAAGCCGGCCACAAGGGCAGGGTGAGATAGTTTTATGACACGGGGCCATAAACTGTCTGGCTAAATAAATGTCCTCCGGCTTGTAATGTGGCCACACGGCTGCTGTTACACTTACAGTTTATTCCAAACACTTACTGCTCACCAACCTGAACTTCTTCACTCCCTTAAAGCCTAAAGTTACCGGCATGTTTTTTCTTCCACTACTAATAAGTCTCCAAACATCTAATGTTGGCTTCTTTCTCCTCGTCCCTGCTGCTCACCACGTGTGGAAATATGGCTGTCTGTCTCACACAAATCACATGACTCCCCTCTGACACTCGCGTCCACCAGCCAACAGGCTTTCAAACTCCACTTCTGTCTAACATCTGGCCGGTTCCACTGCACTTCTGAGCCTCGTATTATTGTTAAAAACAACACACGGTGACATGAACATGAAAGCGTCGCGTCCTGAGTGAGACGCAGGGGCGCTCCGGAGATAACGCGTCCCGTTTTTTAAAGAGTTCGGCGCACTGTTCTGACGGTGCACCCTCCCTCCCTTTTATGTCCGACCAGATAACATGAAGGCTGCATAAAGCACTGAGCGCTCTGCTACAGATAGTGGATAAAATAAATGATGCAACCTAGTGAAAGAGGATCTCTGTATAATAACTATAATGAAAGACTTGTTATCAGTGCTCTGAAGCTTCTGAGCGCTTCTCCGCTGATGGGATCTATCGCCAATAATGGTGCCGATAAAGGCATTAGGGGCCTTTTGCTGGCTTTATATATCTAGGTGAATTGATGTGTGTCTTTTGAGATAGCAAAATGGTTAATACAGCGGGATATGATTGGAAAATAAAGAGCACAATCACTTGAAAAGATAGCTGAAGTCTCCCTTTGCTTGTCTACCTGCATTAATTACAGATTACACTCTCTCTTAATATTTTAGAAAAGAACACACAAAGCTTTAAACACACACTTTCAAACTTTCTGTTTTGAAAACTACTCATTCGTTGGCATCTCAACCCTGTCAATGAAGAAGCAAGTTAGGTGTTGGTTTACATATACAACTTAAGGGTAAAACAGAGAAAGAAAGAAGGAGAAAAGGGGTAACATAAAATATATATTCATACTGAGAGGATTTGGCAACACAAACATTTAAAACATAAAAAAGCATGGGGTTTAAAATAAGGGTCTAGAACAGTATATACCTGTGTGTTCATATTTGTGTCTTAGAAGGGAACTGCTCTTCTGGAATGTTTTGTCGCACAAGTCACACGCGTACATACCACTTTCGGTCTTCTTAATCTTCTTCCGCGACAGACAGGAGTCGGGGTCTGTCATGTCGTCCAGCCCTGACATGTAATCTGGTGTACCGTCGAGCAGGTCCCCCTTAAAACACAGAAACAAATAAAAAAAAAAAAGAAAAGAGAGAGAGAAAAACAAAACATAGCAATGAATCTTCCCGTGTGATGAAGGGCTTTTTCCTGTTTCTGAGAAAAGTTTGTTGGGGATAATTTGAAGAGGGAGCGGGTGGTTTCTGGGAAATGAAGTGCAAATACTTAATTAAATTTCAGGAAATGTCATAAAAAATGTGTATTTTAGGATTAAATGTCACAATATTACTATTACATGACGTGTAAGTGAGCAAATATTGCTTTTATTTGAATAAAAGTTACTCAGTGTTCAAAGAAACGACCTTTGTGCCACTTAATGTGGCCAGATAAAACAGTAAACTGAACTGTACCCCCCCAAACAATCACACTGTGCTCCATGTTCTCATGAATTTTTGATTAGAAGCACATAGCGGCATTGATTTCTTATAAAACTTTCAGCTCTGGAGTAATATCAGCCATCTATAACTGACATGCTCCCCGTTATGAAGCTCGGCCATAATGGTGTGTTCAGTGTGGTCCAATTTTGTACAGGAGTGTTAATTCTGCACATTCCTTTAAAATTGTCCTTTATGATAAAGATTAGTCCTCGACTTTAATTGATGGAGAACAATATTACAACATTAGAGGAGGCACAGTGAAATTGCAAACTCATATAATGATTAAAATCAGAAGGTGCACCTTAATGGCCAATATTGAGCCACCAAAGCTTCCTTTAATGAATATGTGTGTGATAATGTGTGGACAGCTCCGCACTGTGTTTTAAGAAGGGACCACTATCACTCTGCAATCAATTTGAACTAAACGCCTGTAGCTGTATTTTTAAAATCTAATTTAATAACTTAGAATAGGAAACATTATTAATACTTTTTTTCATCAAAATGGTTCCCTCTATGTTAAACAGCCTTCAGCATTCACTGGTAATGAACATGGAGACTGTGCATTATTAATCCACATGTAGAAGCTCATTTTGGCTTTGGCTCTCTTTAAAATGCAGCAAAGTTGCGATGGGAAATTTCACAGAAGTGCACAGCTCCGGGGCTCACCTTTGTCATTTTTACAAAGGCCTTTCACCCATATTTAATAACAAAATATCTGAGTTCAGGCCAGCGCTGGAAGAAGACTGGAGTCAGGAGCATTAATGTGTTCCACACGCAGCAGCGGGTAAAATTTACAGTGGAGTGGTAACAATTAGAGCTTTACTGAGATTAGATTTTAGGGCCAACATCGTCCCTGTTATTTATTTGAACCTGATGCTGTTTGATTTTTTTTTGCCAGAGTTTTTTTTATGCTTAAAATGGACTTTTCTGAGGGTAGAAAATTAAAAACTACTGTGATTCTGGATTAAGGTTTAGTGTGGAACCCCTTCAGAACAATTTTAGACCATTATTGAACAATTATAAATCTCATCACTAACATCCAGAAATGTGCTAATGAAGGGCTGGAGACTCATGAAGGCAGGATGAGATAATCCATTTAAAATATGATATGAAAAAAGAAGTGAAGAAAGTAGCAGCAAATCCTGGAACCAGAAAACATTTGGCTTTTTTTTTGCCAGAAAAATGACTAAAAAAGCTCCATCACTGACTGAAATTAGTCTTAATATCATTATTAATACATCAGTCTTAGACTGTAAACAGCTGAACCTCTAAAATACCCCCTGTCCTCCATGACACCACTAATTACGTCACTTTTTTTCCACCCTGCGGTCGTGTCACAGCTGTTTATCTCCATCGCTTTGTCAGTTCAGTCTACCTCAGGTGAGAGTGTCTCTCTCCTGACTCTGAAGTCATTTTTAATTAGTACAGAAATGAGTTCAGATCATTTTAGGGAATCTAAGTGAGCCTGGGGCTTTTACAAAACCACAGGTGGCTTATTTACCTGGAAACCTGGTTTCCGCTGGTACTTTCTCCTCTGCTGCATCTCGGCAAAGGTAGCTGCCCCTGCTGCGTAAGTGTAGGCCATGTGCGGTAGGAAGCCCATTTGATCCATGCCCGGATAGGGCCTAAGACCTGGTATGCTGGCCTGCATCGGGGGCATGAATGTAGCAGGTGGGAAAGCGCTCTGAGGTGGAAGTGACGTGTACAGGGGTTTGGCAGCAAACGGGTTAATGCCGAAGATGGGGCTAGTGCTTTTTTCTAGGTTTCCGTTGTTGGTAGAGCCTGAGAAATCCTTCTTGAGATAGGCCAAGTTCAAAGGCTCTTCGAAGTGCTCTCGGGGAGAGGGGACGCTGTTATGGTCAATGGTAATGCTGTTGACTTTAGGTCTGCTTTTGACAGTCAGTGCGTGCTTGGGTTCCTTCATGAGTCTCGGCAGAGACAGGTCCAGCGGCTCAGCCTGCAGGTCTTCTGATGTCAAGCTGTTTGGAGTGTAGGAGCTGCTGTGAGAGTTTTTGGAAGATGTGGAGGACAGGTTTAGCGGGGAGGGGGTGTTGCTGCGGGAGTGGTCCAACTTTTCACCTGTGGGTTTGGCGCTGCCGCTGAACTGGTGGTTTTTCAAATGTCTGAGCGAGTTGTCACAGTTGTTAACGTTGTTATGGAGCTCTGCTATGGAGGGGGATGTGATGCGGTCAGTAGATTTCATAAGTGACACAGGTGACCTAGCTGCCATAGAGTCTTTTGGTGGAGTGTGGTGGTTATTTGTTCCGACAACCATATCCGTGTTGTTCCTGTGCTCTAGTGGTGGGGTTCGGGTGGTGCCGTACTGGTACATCTTTCGCTGATCGAACCACTCCTTGACAAATTCCTGAGGAAGGCCGACTGCTATGGAAATCTTGAGCAGCTCCTCCGAGTTGGGCTCCATGTTCATGGCGAAATACGCCTTCAGCACAGACATGTGGTCCCTGTAAGGGTTAAGGGGCCCAGTGAGTCCCTTCTCAGACAACATGGGGGAGGATAAGTGGCTGTTCTTCTCCATGAAGATCCCTGGTTTGTTGGGCATCAAATTCTCACTGGGCTGCAGCACGGCCTTGATCTCCTCGTTCATTTTACACAGGTAGCGTTCATGCTGATGCAAAGGTATTGGCCCGGGGAAGGTTTCTTTGCAATATTGGCAAGCATAAGGCGTAAACATGTTGTTTTCCTGCACCTTCTCATCCACACCTCCTTCAAGCATGTGGTTGGATTTCTCTCGTTTGATATTGCTAATCTGTCTCTTTGAGTCTGTGGTCAAGCTCTGGAGGCAGGCTTTGGCTTCGTTCACTTTTTCTAACGTGTAGTCGATGATGTTTTTGGTGGCGCCATTGTGATTGACGAGTGGAAGACCAACCTGTGCTCCTGGTGATGCCAGCGCCTGTTTCTGCTCTTCAACCTGGGACCCCAGCTCCTTCATGTAGGCCTTAAGCTTGGAGAGCTCCTCTGGCTTGCAGTCCATTTTCTGCCTGCACACAGTGTTGTCCACGATCTGAAGAACCTTCTGCACCTCACTCAGGTTGTTCGCCAGCGGTCCCGGGTAGCCCAGGAGCTGTGACTCAAGCCCGGCAATCCCGAGGTGCTGCAAAGGGCTCTGGGCCGTGGAGCTGTGGTGGATGCCCAGCGGGCTGTTCCCTCCCATGCCTCCGTTCAGGAACGGTCCAGGGGCACCGAATCCATGAGAAGCCATCATCAGCTTGTAGTCGTTGAAGTCGAGCGGCTCCGTCTTGATGTTCAGGTGGTTGTTGTGGTCGGGAAGGCCAAGAGGCTTTCCGTTCTCCAGCTTCTGCCGCAGCTGGGTAATGGCGGTGTTGGTGGGCGAGGAGGAGGCTGAGGTGGGGGAGGAGCCAGTCTTCATGTTGCTGCGCATCCTGCCGTTGACAGCTATCAGGCCAATGCACTTTTTGCTGCTTATGTGGGAACTGTAGGAGCCCGAGTGGGAGAAACGCTTCTTGCAGTTGGGGCACTCATACGGTTTTTCACCTGAAACAAAAAATACATAACGCGTAAGACGGCTAATGCGAGAATGACAGGCTTATATAAATAATAGAATCTAATTTGTATATTATTGTACAAATTAGATTAGTATATTATTATTTATTTGTTTAATTATAGGGAACAAAGAACATAAATCAACATCAAGAACATCAGAGTAAATGTGCCAGGGCCAGCTCCATATCTAATTTGCTAATTTGCAAAAATCTATTTTACGTAAAGGCAAAGTGCTTTACATAAGACAGAGCAAGGTAGTGGAATACCTTTTTTTTTTTTTTTTTTTAAATACAATGAAACTAAATTGAAATACACTTAAAGAATATACTGAGAAATCAGTGTTGTTATAGTGCAGTAATACATTTCCCCAAATTTACTAAAGCAAATAGATGTTTGGTTGAGAAGGTTTAAGTAATTAAAGGCACAAAAAAAAAACAAGTGGGATAGCAGCTGTAGTGGTGATACAAAAACGTAAATCAAGTTAAACCGAAAAGAAATGTTTTTCAGGTCTGCATTACCTGCTTCATCCATCTACAGTACTGTAAGATAAGGTAAGTGTCATTATGTGCAGGGGACTTCTGCTGTGTGTTTTTTGCCCCTTTATACACATCAGTCTTGTAACTATTTAGGATTATTTCAGGGTGATCCAGGACAACAGACAACATGCTGCCTCTGTTTCGTTCTTCTGCTGATCAATGGACATTCTGCGTAACAAATAAACTGATAAAAGAAATGAAACTTCTGATATGCTTCACACACACACACACACACACATGCATGTCTAAGCAAATATTATACTTGGCACGTGAAATGTTTCTTAACGCAGCAGAGTTCAGTGTCCATTAACAGCAGGGAGGGTCCAAAATAAACCGAAAGGAATTTCTGCAGATTCATGGTGTTCTTAAATCATGGTTATGAATATTCAAAGAGCAGGGCAGCATTCCTCTCGGCACTCACCGCTATGAATCCGGAGGTGTTCCTTCAGATGGTGCTTGTATTTGAAGGCCTTGCCACACTCGGTGCATTTGAACTTGCGGTTGCCGGCCGCTTGGTTGAGCAGTTGGTGCTGTGAGAGAGAGCGAGAGAGAGAGAGATTCACGTTGAAAAAAAAAAACCACAAAAAAAAAAAACCAACAAACATCGCGGGGGTGAGAGTTCAGTAAATAATCACAATTGGTCGGCATGACAACAAGCAACAAGCCGAACAGCTCCTGTAGCCAATGAAGCCTCCTGGCTTTCTACTCCCACCTCCGTTGAGCGACTACAGGCAGCGGCGGTGATAACAGAGAGAATCACATACTTTTTAATTTCCTGGCTCCTTAGCCAAAGGAGGCATGCCTTTAGAATTTGGCAGCCCAGAAAATAGAATAAATGAAAAGGGAGAGAGTTTTTTTTTTTAACGGCGTTTCCCCCTCATTACAACCACCGATCTGATCTACTTTTCAATTAATTTGGGCCTAATCAGTCTAAAAGGTATTCACAATCATCTGCGAGCTCTTTCACCCTGCATACCTGTATTCACACCATTTAAATTACACTTTGTACTTTTTCAGAACAGCCTCAAATGTCTTACAGTAATTGCGGCTTTTTTTTTTTTTTTTTTTTTTTTAAACCTCAAATGTCTCTTTAATAATCTTAGGATACAGAACAGAGCGTATAGGCCCTGCCTTGATTCGCTGTTCAAAGGTAAACATCAGTTGCAATCCATCAAATTTGCAATTCAAACAAGGCCTGATCTCCGAAAAGCCAAAAAGAAGAAAAATCAAAATGTAATACCCGGCAACAACAACACTGGGTGTGTAAACCTGGCTCGTCACTCACAAAACAATTAATTCCAAGAGGGAGGTGAGGACGTTAAATAGTTAGTAAATAAAAAAAATAAAAAAAAAAGACACATTTTCTCTGAGCTCGCTAGGGGGAAAACACAGCAACTCCCTCCTCCCAGTTCAGCCTTGACAAATGCTGGGGTGTGTGCTGACTCTACCCACATTCCTGGGGAGACAGATGGTGGCGCGCAGGACACTGGGAGGACTGGGAGGAATTGTTCAAACAGCCCCAACCTTCAAAGATCAAGCAGGGAGAGTCGGGGGCCCCGCCAAGCGCCGGAGAGGGACCCCACTGCTCGTATGTTGCTGAGTTGCATAAACAAACAGCAACAGCTGCTTCAGTGCCCCCACCTCCGCCACCATCCCCTTACTTCCCCCCTGAGGACCCCTGCCCGGTAAAGTTTAGTCTCGCCACCACTGCTAATAAGACACAATCGCTCAGCGCTCTTAATTGTGAATGGCACCGGCAAAATGCTCCATCTCTCCTTCATGGCTCGTTGTCAGTGTGAACGCCACCACTGCTGATTGTGGGCGGGGACCTGACTGGATGTTTGCATATGTATAACCTCTAATTAGTCATATTTCAGCTAAGTGCTTAAGAGGAGGAGGAGTATTAAGGCTTGTAAACATACAAGACAGAACAACATGGCACATGATTACCTATCAGGACATTATTCTTTATGTTAATCTGATTGCTCTTCAGTTAGTTGTTAATTACCAAATGTACATTTTCACATAAACGCATGCTCATTTAGATTCTCTCCGTCTTCTAAACACGTTGATGAGGGAGTGATAGATTTTCTTGGTGGTTTGTCTTGAAGAAACAGTACGAGCAGCGATAGATGTCATGACTTGATATGACAAAGAAGAGAGCGCCTCCTACAGAGAACCTAACTGCAGCCTTAAAACAGGAGTAAGCCATCACCTCGAGGATTACCATTTAAACAGTCCAGCTAATTTACAAATCAAGATAACCGGCTTTGTGGAAGGACCTGCAGCACTTGTATAGGAGTCTTTTGCCACTGACTCGACTCTGGTGGGGGGGGGGGCAGCAACAGCATTGTAATATGAGGATTGGGACAGCGGCTCACTCGGCCGGCCCATCTGCTCACGTTTACACCCAGCTGGTAGATCAGGTGAAAGTGCTGGCTGCTGACATCTGATCAAATCAGCCACAGTCTGAGCTTGTCATCCTCGCTTCAGAGAGCACAACACCCTCGACCTGGGACTGAACACCGCAAAGCATCAAGGTACATGATATCATCTGTGATTGGCTCAATGGATCATTTTTTTTTTTCTGTATTTAACATAACTGTAGATTCCGAGGTTTTTCTAGCGGAGGATGTCTGTGAGAAAATGATCAAAGAAGTGAAACAAGTGATTTTTCTAATATTTTAAAAGGAAAAAAAAAAAAAAAATCCATCAGTGCGGCAGTTACTCTGTAGTGTAACAAGCAACCTGTGGTCATAACGTCATGTAATACATAACAGACTAACAGACCTTTTTTCTGGATTCAATAAATTCTTTTTAAATTCCTTTTTCAGCGCTACATTTCACTGTACATCTAAATCACAAAGTTAGATTCATTACATTTTAGAGCTTAACTTCAGGCCTTTGATAAAACTGTTGCATTTTTTTTTTTTTAAAACAAATCCTTTAGTTATAATCATCCATACAGACTCCATCTACTTTAAAATTTACTGCTCCAATTTTAGTTCGTTGAGAAGTTATAATTATCCCCCAATGTGCAAAAACTCTGAAAGCGTGCAATTTTTTTTTTTTTTTTTTTTTTTTGCCACAATCTATCTCGCCCCACATCTTCAACTTAAAGCTGACAAGCGAGTTAAACACCCGTGACTGCTGGATGTGTTTTCACCTCACAGGACTTTAAGGTGATTCATGCCAACTGCCAGCAGATTCACATTATATTTCAGACATATAGGATATAAATCGCTCGAGAAAATTCAAGTATACACAGATGTTTATGCAGTGCATGAAATTAGAAGTGAAAGAAGGGGCGGGTGGGGGGTGGGGGGGGGGGGGGGTGGAGTTTGATGGAGTGCTACGACTTCAGGCTGCACCAGAAGAACATTAAAGGCCAGGAGTGAAGTGAAGTTAAGGAGCTGATAAAAATTTCCAAATTGGAAATTAACACAATCATTCGATCGTGAACATGAGACTGGAAAATCATATCAGGGAGGGCCATCAAAAAACCATTTAGGGCCTCAATTAAAGTTATTACCATTAAAGGATCTGCATCTTCAAAATGCCATGAAAAATTAATAATGATTGCCAATCAGAAAAAATGATCTCTCTTCTCCGAGGGATCACAGCACATTAGAAATGAAATGAAACAGGGGATAGAAACAGGAGGAGGAGGAAAAATGGAAAGAGAAGGGAGGGATGACGAAGAAAAAATGAAAATCGCCCTCACCTGATCCCTTGCTGGCTTGTGTGTGGCCATATGCCGCTCAAGCTGAGTGCGGTAAGCAAACGTGTAGTTGCACAGGGGGCAGGCGAAGTTCTCCTCGTTCTTCTCATGACGGTACTTGATGTGCTCCTTTAGCGATGTCAAACGCTTGTAGCCCCGGTCGCAGTAGGGGCAGGTCAACAGTTGGGCGAAGGCATCTGGCGTTCCAGGTGGCAGGTCTGCACAGGAGACAGCGGGAGGAGGTCGGGGGGTGGGAGGAGGAGGAGGAGGAAGGGGAAGGGAAAGCGGGCCAAAAGGTCAGCGAATCAATGGCAGCTAACGGGCGGGCTGCCCAGAGTGGTATGGGAGTTATCTCTGCAATCTGCTCCACATGAGAGCCACAGTGTCAGGCTGGCATCCGCTGCACTACGACCTCCTCCCGACTCCTCTCACACACACACACACACACACACACACACACACTTGTGCAGCTTCACTTACCGCACCCCACTCAGTCTCAGTTTCCTTGACATAGTAACAAACAGGCAAACAACCCTTTATGTACACAAACACTTAGATACATATACAAAATCACAAGTGGACAAAGTCGTTGACACACACACGTAATTCCTCGTGCCTCCCTAATTGCTTTAAACTGCCCACACTTTTTTTAATGCCATTCTCGCTGACACGTTCATCATGTCTGAAGCATGAATCATGAATCATGAGCCTGTTCCAATTCGAACCCCCCTCAGCTCTGTCCCCCTGGGGAGCTTCAGAGGTGCACTATCTGATTTCAAGCCCCTGCCCAGCTGTTGCTTAAGACTGTAGGTAAACACCAAGGCATCCAGTGAATCTGTGGGACCAACAGCTGCCCAGTCGTGTCAGCGGGAAGAGCTGCTGCCCTGTCCAGACGCCTTTCCCTTCTCTTTTTTTAACCTTTGCTGGCCTTTGCTCCTGTTACTGCAACGTTCATGCAACGGTCACGCTACACGCCCATAATAGTTTCATAATTAAAAACAAAAAGCTAAATGAATAAGTAATAAAACATCTCATTTCAACACACTCAGCAGTTTTGCTGCTACAGTATTTCATAGTCTGGTATGACCAGTAGTTTATTGTGGCTAATGTTAGCTAACAGAAGCTAACTGACATGTCTGAGTAAGTTTGCTGACTTTCCGTCTCCCCTTCCTTCCCTAAATTATCTGGTCACTCTGAGGAGTTGAACCCACGGTCTCTCAGTGCTTTCCTCTTTGACCCCGCCCACCGACCCCTGACAGGATTCGTACCGTTCTCCTCTGGTCCAGTGGCCTCCGGTGTGCCCAGGCGGGACAGCTCCTCCGGGGCTTCCGGGTAGATGATGGCGGTGTCGCCCCGCTGCAGGTACTCTGCGATGCTCACCACGTGGCTGTCGCTGTCGTCCAGCTTCCGCTTGGCAAAGAAGTCCTCAAACTCTGAAGTGCAATCGACGCTCTTAACTGAAGGGGAGGAAGAGAGAGAGAGAGAGAGAGAGAGAGACAGTGAAGGAGGAGACCAACAGAGAGAGAGAGGGAGAGAGGGGGAGGAATAAATTGGATTCATTTCTTCCCCAGAGAAATGTCTTACAGGAGGATATTGGGAACATCTTGGTGGAAATGCGATGAGGACAGCCACCCTAAAACATTACAGCCGTGCTTTGGGGAGAATACATCTAAATTACTGGGTTTGCTTGTCACGCCATGCCGGCTAAAATAAGAATTGTAACTTAATCCGGCCAAAAGTCAAGAGATAAACGCGCTACCATGAGCTGCTGAAGAAACAACGTGTAAAAAAACTTCACTGACCTAATTTACTCATGACATAAAATCTGATTTTGAGTTTAGGAAATAAAAAGAAAACACACTCATACATACATACATGCAGAAGCCTGGCTTAATCAGCAACAGAGCCACGTTTCTTTGTATCGACTTTCACATATAAGGTCAATCAAGAGACTGTGGCTTTTGTTGATTCTGTGTTGAACAGATTACCAAGGCCAAGACAACCAAAACCAGCGCAAAAAGAGGGGTGGGGGGTTGGGGGGGGTGGGGCTAGGGGGGTGGGAGAGAGAGACATGCTTTGCCATAGCTGAGCAGAATGTATCTTAAGCCAGCCAAAGTGCTGAGGCCACACAATGCGTTTTCTCAAATTATTTCCCAGTCCCCTCTCTTCAGGGAAACTCTTAAGCTGCAGTGTGGAGATAGCTGCCTCCAAAAACAAACCGGAGCTAAAAGAAATCAGCAGCCTTCATTAGTCAAGGGGATGGCCGACTTTCAAAAATCACACACACACACACACACACACACACGCACACACACACGCACACTTTCGTACTCACACACTGTTTACATCCTAGAGATTCTGGAGGCTGTTTGGCTATGCTGAACCGAAAAAACCGAGTGAAGTCTCATCAGACTTCATCCCCTGTTAATTAGGCTTTTAGACTGTGAGCCAAGGTGAGGTTTAAAGAGCGATTTGTTAGGCCGTGATGACTTTGCGGTCCAATTTGCGAAAGGTCAAGGTAGTAGATATTTGGTTGTCAAAAATGGCACCGAAATGTCATCGGTGCCAATGGATCGCTTTTGATAACCGTGATAGCATAATTTACAGCATTCTCATTAGGTGATTCTTTGTGGCTTTTGAAGACTGCTAAGATAATTGTGAGAGAGTCAATGTTGTGATGATAGTTTTCTTTTTTTTTTTAAGTGGTTATTTAAGATGGAGTGGTGATTGACCGGGGTGCGGCTTGGTGCAATCAGTTCTCTGGACCTCAACCTAAAAACCGTCAGGGGAATGAAATGTTGTTTATTTTATGTTTTAGTTTCAGTCGATGCAACCTACCAACCTTCTCTGTCATTCAGCTGAATAAAATGACCTTTACTTTTCTTTTTGACTCATTCTGAATGAAAAATACAAATGCAACGTGTTTCTTTAAGGAGAAACGACCGACTTTTCTTTCAGTGAAGGAGGAAATCACCTGGATCAAAGTGTGCTTTGGCACCAGGACGTGATCAAACTGCTCATGTCTTTAAATGAAATCATATGTGATCTGGTGGCAGGGAGCTTCCATTGCAGTGCAACGGTATTGTTTCCAAAAGTCCTTTAAGCAGTCAAAATGGAAAACATTTGCTATGCTTGAATTTTCAGAACAGAGAGAAGGAAAAAAGTGAAGAATAAAACACCACGACGAGCATAAAGTAAAAGTAATTAAAGCTGAAGGGAGGGTTCTGAGGCAGGGCTGCATGGCGTTCTGTGGGGTGAGTTTGGTTTACCATAACAGCATCCGGGGCCAATTGTCAGGGTGGCCAGGATGATATCATGGAAGGGAAGGGGTGTGTGGCTGCAAATCAGCTCTGGCGGCTTAATGAAAAATGGCAGGTAGGGTTTTGCTTCCACCGGGAGCAGGCGACGGGACACAAACACACGCAAAGACTCACTCAGCTAACCAGGGAGGCTGAAAACAGCACGTATAATCACAGGTTATAAACATTAGAATCACTTAAGCTGCCCATAAACACCCAGGGATTTGTCTTAGTGGTCACTGTGTCAGCAGGACAAGATTTTCCCTCTAATTACAGCTCACAGTTTTTAGATGTCATTGTTTTGTTCTTGTTATTTTAAAGAGGTGGTCGCTAACAACTTGGAGTCTGAACCCCCAAAGGGGAGATAAATCTCAGGTGTCATTGGATGATGAATGGATAAGAAAGCAGCAGAGACATACTTCTGCTACACAATATTATGTCTGCGTGTGTGTGTGTGTGTGTGTATGTGTGTGCGTGTATTACTGTGAATCTTTCCATGTTAATCCCTGAAAAGTCTAAAAAGGAAAATCTGACCAGGAAAAACCATTCTTTGGTTGAACTGATCACAACCTGTGATGAGAGGCTACAAGCAGGGCTCACAAGACAGAAAGGTTGGGGAATCATGTCGCAACTGAGGTAATGGACACAAAGTCAAATACTCTTTGTGCTCTCCTAGTAAAACAGGAGGGTTTCACAACTATAAAAATCACATTCAACATCTTGAGTCAACTCACCTGTACCGTTTCCCACTGCCTGCAAAGTGGCATCAGGCCCCAGGGTGTCAAAATCATCTTTTATTTCATCTGCACAGAAACAGAGAAGAAGAAAAAGGAGGTGGGGGTGAGGAGGGAGGGTGAGTACCTCTGTGTGCAAAGCAACAAACGTCGACAATGAGGCCTTTAAGAAGAAGGTATAGAGAAAGCAATAAAGGCACCACTGTGCATCGCGGCACGCCGCTGCTTTGTTCGGCATGCTTAATGAATGCTATCATCTGGGCCAGACAGTGACTTATTTACCTTTAACATGACAACAAGCGGTGGGGGAGGCGAAGAAAGCTTCAATCGCCAAACAGAGCGATTAAATACAACATGGAGCACATCCACCTGAGCAATCACAGAGCTCCAGCCAACACGCAGGCTGAGCTTATTACTCCCTGGCTGTGACGCCGCTGCAATCCTCTGCATGCAGGATCACGCTTGTTTTATCATATGTCATTTGGTGGATGCTTTTATCCAAAGCTGCCTGGAGTATTGTGAGCGCACACATTTTTTTGATTTCCCACAACCCCTGGCAGAGAGTTAGCGCCTTGCTCCTAACTAAAAAGAATACAACCCTCAACCACAAATTAACAGTTTTAGTTGCACAAACATTTCTGAGGGGCAGAGCTGCTCTGGAGGCAGAAATAACCTCATTGGTTGGATAAACCTCAGGTGGGTGGAGCCAAAGAATTAATGTTTTCTGGTGAGGAATGTTGAAAGAAGTCAAATGAAACAGTAAAAACAAGAGGCTATTATATCAAAGCCTTTCACAGATAATGCTACAGGGTGGAGAGCATTTGTCTTGTGACCTCTCTGATTTAATAAACGTGACTGTTAAATTGTGGACATTCAAGTTTTCAGACTCTGAAAATGTGCTGCTTTTTTGGCTCCACCCACCCACAGCTGACCCTCAACCGTTCAGATTTTTTATTTGTCCCGAAGACGTCCTGCCTCAGATAAATGTTTGAATAGCTAAACCTCCAGGAGCTTTGGTTTAAACAGACCAGGTTCTTACTGCCAATCAGGATAATGGCACCCAGTCTGTGCAGACGGGCAGATATTGTCCTGGCACAGGTGAGGCAGCTGTAAATAAACGGTGGATTGACGGGCTCATAAACAAACCCCCCTTTGACAAATTCATCCCTCCACGGTCGACAGGAGGACACTGACTGGACAATCAGCTTAAGGAGCCCCTGGTCCCTCCTTCCTGCCTCGTCTGTAAAAATTAAATCAAGGTGCTTCCGAGAACATGGGGGCTTGGTATTAAAAAAAAAAAAAAAAAAAAAGGAACAAAAAACCTGCATTGTGTGCCTTACACGCATCTGTTCTTGCTCTGCTGCTCATGCAAGGACGTTACAAGTGTTGCATTGTGAAGATTTTTTATTTTTTTACCCGTCCACAGCAGGATCTGATGTATCTGACTATCCCTTGGCTATTAAACCAGGATGAGCGCCTACATTGAGAAACCTGGCCGAGATATTACAGGAAAGGTGGTGGGTGTATTGTTGATAATAATGTTATCCTGCTTACATTACTCTACACAAAAGCCAGAAGCAAAAAGAATTTTTATTTTTAGTTGGAAACAATGGGCTTAATAGTTGTGGAATGCTTTCTGAGGCTCACAATTCAGGGTTGTCTTGAAATTAAAGATTTGGCTTCTGCGGTGAAATGATAAATACCCCTGTCAATGGCTCCAGAGAATAATGACAGACTCTTCTGGACGGGTATGTCCTAGTTTAACTTTCCCCTTGCTAGGATTTTTTTTTTTCCTCTTCTGTTTTTTTCTGTACATTTGATTGCACGTCTGCCAAACTGCATCTAAACCACAGGCGCAGTACGAGAAAATAAATGGGTTTTAAACAACATAAATTAAGCTATGACAAAACAAAACAGATAAAAAAAAACCTCCACCACAGATTAAAATATACCCACAAGTATCAGATATCAGCATGTATGAAAACCTCCCCCAGTTCCCGCTGAACACGGTAAAAACTCCCTCACATTTCTGTGTCCTCGTAGGCACCGTGTTTGCTTTGGGTAATCAAATTTGGCTGCATACTTTTGGTCTGACGCAAGGGGATGACCAGTGGGATTTACTGGCCCTCCACTCTCCCCTATTTACCTTGGACAACTTTTGTTATCTGTGGTCTGAAGGGAGGGACTGCTGCTTCCAGCAGGAGGTAGGCTAATACCACATACACCTCTCTGCTACGGCCTCTGGCACACATACATGCATGCATCCATGCCAGTCCTGAACTACATTCAAATGGGACAAAGTGTCATTGTGGTGAAACTGGGTGGCAGTAAGAAAAGACATGAACGTTGCTGATGCAGGGCCTCGTTTACACAAAGATTTTTTTTTTACAGGAAATGACCAATTTCACCATTTTATCTCATAGAAAAGGATCTAAAATTTTCACATCATGAAAAAATAGTTTCAAGTAACGTAAAAACAAGGGAAGAAAAGAGGGATTTGATTTCTTCTGGAGTCATTTATGCCACAAATATGTGCCTATTCTTGGTCATGGAAAGCATTTTGGATGAAACTGTCCACAAAATGCTGGAAAAGTGTGTTTTGTCAGCAGTAAATCACAGAGGACCTGAGGCGGTAAGGTACACACCTCCTTGAAGAGCGATGTTGAGGTCTGAGAGCCGACTCCGGACCCAGGAGGAGTCCAGAATACCTTGGCCAGACCGTAATTCCACCTATTTTCATAGCAGCTCTGATGCTGTTTATTTTGAAAACATTCCTACTTTTATGGCTGGTCACCGCAGTCGCAGGCGCTTTAAAGTTCTGCCTTTGTGCATTTAACCTCATTTATCCTGAATCTGTCAAGTTAAAGCAAAGCGCTTCATGGTCTCACAATCTCAGAAACGAAACACGATTTTATTAAAACATGTTTTTGAAAGCTGATGCCAGTTGTGATATTTTTAGACTGAAGTTGTCAGGAGTAGATATTTTGTGTCAGTGCTCCATCACTTCAGATTTGAGCATTTTACAGCCAAAGAATAGCCAATGAATTTCATTCTTGGCAGGGTGAAAAGCATCAGAATCGCTGCACTTAATGAAAAATATGGAAAAAATTAATAACATAAAAACCTGACAAATGCGCACAGAAAACAAGAACCACTGTTTTATGACAAACAGAAGGCCAAATTTGGCACGAATGTTATGAAAAAGAAAGATTTTGTGTTTTCGGATGATGCGTCTCCAGGATTGAGCGGAGATGCTTCCACAGTCCAACGAACATGAGGAAAAAAGTGGGATTTCTACAGCCTGTGATTACAGCAGTGTTCAGTCAGAAATCCTCCCGACGCCCTTAAGAGTTTAAAAAAGGGCAAAGGCAGCACGCAGGTGATTTATTTGAAAATGTCTGTCAGTGATAATGATGTCATACTTTCCAGCACATCGTGTCCAGCCTCACTGTGGGATGAAGGAATGTCAAGGACAACGCCAGACACAAGACTCTGATTGTGCCCTGGAATCAGAAGAGGCTCGGTGATAAACTTTTTCTTTTTTTTTTTTTCTCCTCCTCCTTTTTACATGCAGTAATTATGTCTCAGAAAATCATTGAGGCTGTGTTGCACTGCAGCTAAAGACAACTCCACATTACATGAAATAAGAAATAAAGGAGTGTGTTTGTGTTTTTAAGATGACATTTTCGGGCTTTTACTGCAACTTCTGAAGACCTGCAAACCGGTTTTACAGTCACTCACACTTTCAAGACCTATGTAAAAACTCTTGATAGAGTAGTGACGACCAAATCAGCGCGATTAGGAGGGAGGGAGGGTGCTAACTTATCTCAGGCCTAAGTTATGTGCTGAGGTATCACTGTAGACACTTAGGCACCGAGGAAGAAAAAAAATAAAAAAAAACAGGCTGGGAAACACAGCACCCGCAAGATTGGGAAAGAGACTCCCAAATGCTCTAATGAACTTGACTTGCTCTCTGAAATATGTCAGACACTTTATCACACAAGAAGCATATTATCTGGGAATTGCAACATAGTTGAATTACAGACATTATGGCACCACGGGTCTTTATCAAATAAACAATTACCGTATGCAACGACAGCTTGTTTATCCTTTATCTTGATATATTTACCAAACTGTCTTTCCTTTCTTCCCCCGCTTAAGGAGCCAATGTTATTTAGGAGAAGCAAATGTTGATACCCACTAAGTTTTTTTTTTCATCCCTAATAAATGTGCAATTTTCCCCCATATTAAAATTTAAGACTGCTGAATGTTCCCCCGTTTTTCGGCACTGTGCACAGCTAGTTCATTAGCAGAAATGAATAGCGGAGCCCAGCTCATTTAAATGGGCTGTCTTACATGACTTCTCGCCATACTCTGTTCCTGTCACATGCTTCCAAGAATCATTGACTCTTATTATACATGTAAATGGCTATCATAAAAATAAAAATTTCATTTAAGATTGTTAATGACTTTTTGCAGCAGTCTGGCTTCCTTTAATGATTATACCCTGCCCCCTAATTAAAAGTATTTATCTTTCAAGCATCCGTGACTGGAGCCCCTGCAATCGGCGTTGCTCAACAAAAGACGATAAGTCAGTCAAGTTCGGTGAAGGTATCACCTGCTGGGGATTAAGCAGCTTGTTAGGGAGGAGGTATCACATGGCATCAGTCACTGTTGGGGGTTGTTGAAATGCCATAAACGCGCACACAGTTTGACTAAAAGTAACGTTGCGTGTCTGGCGTCTCCTGCAGAATCTGGAGACTGAAACATTGAATCATATCAACCACGTTCTCACCTCCGAGTGCTTTTCATTTCCTGCAGCTCACAGGCTTTTTTTTTTTTTTTTGTGAGGTTATACATTACTGTAAATATTTTTTGTTGTTTGGCTCAGAGCAGGACTTTTCTCTAAGCATGAACCAAATGGTCTCTGTCGCCCGCAGAGAAACTGTTTATCATGTCTGTCTGCTGAGGGAGCATCATCAGGGCTTCACCATCAGACCTGGCTCAAGTCGTGTTTGCATGACGCTTCGCGGGGTTTGTTTAAGTCTACTCGGGCACCAGATGGGTGGGGTTTACGGCATAAGACGACACCGCGAGTGGCAGGATGTGCACACAGTCGCAATGGAGTGTCTGAAAGTCAGCTTAGTGGTAGTTCCTGTGATTGACAGATCACCTGAATCCCACATATCTGGTGAAGCAGATAGAACAAAAGCTAGAAGTGTTTTTAAGGTATTTCTTGAGACACATCTGTGAGAAATATTGAAAATTTGGTTATTTGATTTTTGTGCAATACCTTTTCTTCATCATTCGTAATGGAAATCTCACTTTGGAACAAATCTCTCTACATGTTCTCTTTGTCATTCAAGACAACAGTCTACACTGAAAACCCTGATTTAATTAAGAAATCATCAGTTTGCCTTTTAGTTGGGGAATCTTTTCTTTAACAACGACATTAACTCAATCTCTCTACCATCTGATTAGAGACACTTACCAGTACCATCCACCGAGGCACTCAGCATGTCGTTGTCGGGCCAGATGTGCTCCACGCCGCTGTCCCGCATCTCGTCGTCCTCCTCCTCCTTGGTCAGCAGGCCGTGGCTCTCGGCGTGGGGCGAGGCCTCCGGGTTGGTGAGGCTGGCCGGGCTGCCCGTGCCGTTGATCAGGGGGTCTTCCTCGGACACCGGCAGCTTGTCCTCCTCCTCTGTCTCCGAGCCTGTCTCCACCACATTCTCATAGTTGAGAGCTGTAACGCAAAGGACAAGTGTGGTCAGTAACGGGAGAGGACTGCAGAGAAATAAGGATGTTTCATATGAACAATTGAGTGTTGGCAGCTTGTAGTGTTATTGATAAAGGAATGTAGGCATACACTGTTTTTATACTTGTCAGCTCAGTCATTTAACTCCAAACATAAATGACAGAGGAATCTGAAAAGGGTTTGCGACTTGTTTTGGAAATTGAGGTGTATTCCCAGATTAAAAAGGTCACCCCACATCACTGCCTCTTCCAAGGCGTAGGCGCTTTTTTTTTTTCTTTTTTTTTTTTTTTTTTTTTTTTTTTTTTGTGGGTTACACCCCAATTACAGCATCCGCGTCTGGAATTTGTGACTGAACCACAGCGGTAGGCAGACAGCTGTCGAGGAGATGCGAGCCAAAATAGCCACTAATTTTCAGTCCTGCTCACATGCCTTGGATGCCAACGAGCTGCACCTTTCAGGACGGCTCTGCTCCGGAGCATACCCGTCACGTTTGAGATGCACCGCATAACACATGCAATATTACAAATGTCGTTGCTATGCATACAAAAGGCTTAACCTATAGTAATTTAGATTATTCACTGTGCGTACCCTTCGGATGTCTTCGCATTTGCATTGCCAGTGAACCATGAACATAAATATAAATGTTTCCAAACATATGAAAATATAAAAAACACGCCCGGGCCTCCAGGCCGATTGACTGCACACATTCAGGGAGGTAGGCTGACATACATACCACACACACACACACACACACACACTAACACACTCAAAACTCAGCATCAGCAGAGCACGCCTGGTTCCACAACACTCAGGTCCCAGACATATGCCTGCTTCTCCTAAAATAGACGGCCTGTAAATAAGGGCTGTGAACTCAATCAAAGGTGGCTCGCGTGCAAATTAGTCACCGCGATCGGCAGCCATCGGCCGCAGCGTAAATCGTGGCAGAAAAGGACGTCAGAGGACTTATTGGAGGAGTGCAGATGGAGCACTAGGCGAGCCAGAAGCATGGCATGGGGACACACCTCATTGGCAGCTTGTACAAGAATGTTCTGCGGTAAGAGCCAATCATGGGAGGGCCCCGAGTTAGAGTCGCCATAGTGAAGGTGAAGGCTTTTTTTAACGTGCTTCAGTTGAATTTATGTTTCTGAGTAATAAAAAAAGCTGCAGCAAGGCCATAAGTCAGCAGAGTCTTTGGTGAAAATCAACAGATTTATACCTAATAGCTTTGACATTCCACGTCATGTTTTAATATTTGTGCATAAATAGTGTAAAATATGCTAAATGCCTCACATTGTGACCCCGTAAGAAATCAACAAGCTTAATTGAGGCTGTTTTTTGGGCAAAATTATAGCTACTGAGGCCTGAAAGTGTCTCTGCCTCTTGAACTTTCCCAGAATCAAGAGCGGCAACAAGATGAAGTTCACGCATGACATTTCTGAAGACATTATACATATGAAAAGATAATCCTCCCCACATCTCCTCCTAACACGTCTCCGTACGATTGACTGGTCTGCACTTGCCTTCAGCGAACAACTGCACAACAGGTGCAAATTAAAATGAAAACAGGGCTTTCAAATGTGGGAGGGGAGGCGGGGGGCGGGGGGGTGGCAGGGAGGCAGGCAGGCAAGAGGGGGGGAGGAGCAGGAGGAGGAGGAGGGTGGGAGTGCAGTGACCTGCCTCGAATACCAATCGACGGAGGAAACAAAACCTTTTCAAGAGGTGTGATCACAAGGGTTTAGGCAAGTTCAGACTCAGTAATGCTCCTTGGAGATGACAAAAAAGGCAACCGAGGCTGGAGACCCAGGAGTGGAGAGAGACGTTAGGAATTCCTGGGTGGTCTACATCAACCTTGGTACAGCTGATATTGTGCCCTTCATTGATATATACGTCTTTCGAACGAGCAAAGTTTACCTGTTTAACGTCAAACATCTAGATGATCGAATCATTAAAAACCTAGGAATCTCTCAGCTCGCAAGCCCCTTAAAAACAATAAAACAATCATTTTGAAATCTCCGTGCCCCTTCAACCCTGAGGTTTTGAACTTTCCTTAGCAATGTCCCATCAGCTCTGTGTACCCCCAACTTCCAGAGGAGGGGGCAGCAGCGCGGGGCTGGTAGAACAAAGGGCCAAGAGGCTTGGGAAGCTATCAACCCGTCGCTGTGAACCTGATCTCTGGATGCAGATTCAATGACGGAGGAGCAGGGGCTGGCTGAATGAAATTATCTAAGGCTGGACAGGTTTTAAAGGGCCTATTCTTCCCCAATAAAAGGAGCGAGGGAGCTTCTTTTTGTTTAGTAACACATCCACCACGGCAACGCACACCGGTCTGACTTCTATACTCCCACGTAGGGAATGAGGGAATGCGGCATTGTGCGTGGACCTTCCCCAACAAACTTTCAGGGCAAAGTAAATCCCGGAGAAACAAAGTGGAGCTTTCATTTTATTTTTTGTCAACACTTTGAACCATTTTCCTGTCTGCTGCTGTTTTTTCCTCGTCTCTCGTGTCGTCTTGTCCTCAAGTTTCTGAACAAATTCAAGCATGGGGGCGTTGAACTGTCTCTGAGAGCTACAGTAGACGCAATCTTCCCCGAACGTCAGCTGTCTCCTCCGCATTCAACGTATACCTCCAAGAAGGCAAAATGACAGTGGGGTGCTCATCAAGTCAAACGCGTAGTATTAACGCCAAGAAAGCCGCCATTGTTTAGGTGCCACCGTTGACAAGAGCCTCTCCCTCTCTGAGCATGAAGCATCTATTGGTATTGTGTCACGCAACAAAGTAATTCTAACCTACTAATATTTCGCAGGCAGTTATCTCCCGCCCGAAAACCTCGCTCTTAATCGGCCTTTTGTGTTGCTGAGGAGAGAGAAAGACAAAGAAAAGATAATGTTTACTTCTCAAATGCCTCTCCTCTCCTCTGCTTTTCTTACCTTAAGTGTCATCCTCAACAAAAGCAATTACGACTGACATTTTTACAAACTGTTGCTACCTGTTTGCTTTTCTTTCTCTCTCTCTCTCTCTCTTTTTTTTTTAATCTCTCCCACCATTTAAGGTAAATAAAAGGAGCCCCTTTGACTTGAGTTTTGCAGATAATTAAAATGACACATGTAACAGCACAATTCTTGTTTAATATTGGGTTTAAAACTATTTGACATAACCCTTTCACAGACCTCGCATTATTCTGTCACTCACAAAAAAAGTACAGAGAGGAGAGGAATATTGTATATTGATTAGAATGGCTAGAAGCATCAGCAATGACAGCCTGAGAGAGAACCACAGAGCAAGGGAGAAAGTCTTATTAAAATCTCATCATTTCTTTGATTAAGATAAATAAATAAGAAAAAGGAAAACAATGGCACAAGCAATACTTGAGCTGTGACAGTTATATTCTGCAGATACTGAGAAGCCAGTGGAATTAATTTAGTGCCCGGGAAACAAAGACCAAATCTAAAATGATTGTATTTACAAAGCATCAGGTTTGACAGTGAACGACTGGCTCCACTGATCAAAAATGCCTTTAATGTCAGAGTCATAATCGACTCCTGCAAAAACCCAGAGATAACTCACTTCGTGTGTGTGCTTCTGACAACAGTTGTCGGACCACATGCTGCATTCAAAGACACGCAAAGTCACTCGGAGGAATACGCGACCACCAACTTGTGCCTTTGATGCTGACCCCATGCATGTGTTTGTCAAAAAACTTTGCATGTATGGTATGTGCGCGGTGATTTTCTTTCAAGCTGAGAGAGTATGATGCTATATAGAATGTCTGAAAATGAGCTTGTGTTCACACCTGTAGGGAGTCTTTGATAGAGGAATTTACATCTATTTACGTCTTTTAGATGTGAAGACGGTCTTATTTTTTTGAAGCCTATGAAATGTAAAGTGCCTGGTTAAAAGTTCAAGCCATGCGAACACATGTACGTTTTTCTTTAACATCCAAGCACTGGCTCCAAAGTCCTTAAATAACAGAAGTGTGGTCATATGTGTTGGAAAGCATCTTTACTTTACTTTTTTAAATTAAACAAAGCTGCAATTTGCAACAACAAGTTGCACAGAATTGCAACCTGTCGGCATTGGACAGCAGATTTCATTACAAAGATAAGAGTGACGGGTGTTTAGCATCAAGGTTTCTCACCAACATCTAAATCTGAGAGAAAACGGAAACTCCAATTTGCAGCATATCTTAACTTATATAAGCCATTATAACTTAACTTGTATATTAACTGCTTGAGTCTCAGAGCCGGAGACAGAGAGCTCTTTGTGCTCGACAGGCCAACGGTAGAGGTGATCGCTGCGGGGAGAATGACTAACACCCACGTTCGCACTCTCACGCTAACCCCGGCTGACTTTTTAGTCGAGTGTCGAGGCTTAGCTCCAGGTGACACGCTCGGCCTCCTACGCCGATAATGAGCCAGGACATTCTCCCTATTGGACGATAACTGCTCGCGCTCGCTCCCTGTCTCATGAATGTGAGCCAAGCAGATCACCTGGATGGCTGCAAGGGAGATGGGTAAGCAGGAGCGCTCTGTTAGTCAGTGTGTCTGCGTTTGCGTGTGTGTGTGTGTGTGTGTGTATATATGTGTGTGTATGTGGGAGGGCATTAAGGTGGAAGCGAGGTCGCTGCCTTGTGGCTATGGCCAGCAGTAGGGGATTCTATGATGACCTTTTGTCTGCCATTGTTCCTCTATGCAACTGTTTAAACACTTCCCCGGGTAAGTCTTACTCCTGTCTGACGGAAACCTCACATCTACAGCAAGACTATTACCTCATCCACACATAAACAACTAATCCTTTTACACAGTTTAAATGGCCTTGATGGTATCTTTTATCTCTGCTTCATCACTTTTTTTGCCCATTTTGTTTTATTTCATTTTCCCATTTTGTTACCTATTGTTGTACTGTCTCAGAAAATTAAACATCCCCATTTAAAAAACTGAATTCTCATTCAAAGTCGGTAACTGCGGTTATATCTGTTAAAAGATATTGA